GTTCTACTGCGGATATCCTCATTCCTAAGCTTATCACGCAGAGAAACTCTGAGCATAGCCCTCTACATAGCTCGCTAAACGACCTTGAGCTTCCTCATCCGGCCAGCAGTGAAGGACCACGTCTCAGTTCCGTATGTCATCACTGGCAACACGCACTGGCTGTACAGTCTCGTTTTCAAGTTTTAAGGTATACCTGACAAGAAGATGTGCCGTTATTTCCCGAACGATGCCCAACCGAGTTGAATCCGTCGATTGACCTCTCGGTCGAAGTTGGACTTACCTAGTAGGACTGTTTGTCCCAGGTAAACATACTCGTCAACAACTTCGAGCTTAGTGCTCCCAACAACTACCGGCATAGGTGTGACATGGACATTAAACATGATCTTTGTTTTGTCCATGTTCATCTTAAGACCTATCCGTTGGGAGACACTATTGAGGTCATTGAGCATAGTGCTTAGGTCCTTCAGCGATTCTGCCATAAGGACTATATCGTCGGCAAATCGAAGGTGAGTGATGTACTTGCCATTGATGTTAATACCGTATTCTTTCTAGTTCAGAAGCTTGAAAACGTCTTCCAATGCAACGGTGAAGAGTTTCGAGGATATAACGTTACCCTGTCTTACACCTCTCTGCAATTGGATAGGTTTCGTACTCTGGTTCTGTATTATCAAGGGACTCAGCACCGCCCAAATTTCGACGGAATCAAAGGCTTTCGCATAGTCCACATACGCCAGGCAAAGTGGCGAATTGTACTCCTCGGACTTCTGTACAACTTGCCGAAGGGTATGTATGTGGTCTATGGTGCTAAAGTCCTTTCGGAAACCGGCTTGTTCGGGAAGCTGGAAGTCGTCAAATCTGCGTGCGAGACGATTTGTAATGACTCTCGAAAACAGCACGTAGACGCGGCTCAGAAAGAAATCGGTCTGTAGTTCTTCAAGTGAGTATTGTCACTTTTCTTGAAGAATAAGACCACCGCACGTCTGCTCCACGCCTCCGGTGTTATGCCACCATGGAGGACTGAATTAAAGAGCCTCTAAAGGACTTCTAGTACCGGTTTTCCACCCGCTTTCAGAAGCTCTGTTGTAATTCCATCCTTGCCTGGGCCCTTGCCGTTTTTAAGATGCTGGAGAGCCATTCTAATCTCGCTCAGACTGACGACCGGGATATTTTCGGAATAGTATCGGATAAGACTCGCTCTTGGATCGTTACTCACACTTGCGTGTGGCTCCAACGATGACGTGTACAACTGTCCATAGAACCTCTCAATCTCACTCAAAATCTCAGGTGCCCCGGAAACTATGCCGCCACACTCGGTCTTCAGCTTTGACAGCTGGCTCTTTCTGGCAGACAGATCTCTGGCAAAGACTTTGGAGCCTTGGTTCCGCTCGATCGCTTCTCCAATACAAGCTGTATTGAAGTTGCGTAAGTCCCGCCGCATGCATTTGGAGATCTATCTGTTCAGTTGCCAGTATGCTGTCAAATCTGTTGAAGAATGTAGCTTCATCTCCCGTCTAACAGCCATGAGATTAAGAGTGTGATCGGAGAGTTTTTGTGTTCTTCTGCGGCGGGTCTTGCAGAATTTAGCTCCGACCGCATGGACAGTTTCCACGAGCTTGTTATTCATATCGTCCACTTCATTGCAGTCTTCTAGATACTGAAAACGGTTTTGTAACTCGAGCTGAAAGGTTTCGGGACTTTGGATTAGAGCACGAGGGGGACGCAGCGTTGACTTCATTAGACGAGACCTCTCCAACTTAACGTTTAGGTTCAGTGTGCCTCTAACCATTCGGTGATCGCTACCAGTTTTCACCCTCGCGATCACGGAGACATCACTGAACAGTTATCGTCTGGTCATCATAATGAAGTCAATCTCATTTTTTGTCGAACCGTCGGGGCTCGACCAGGTCCACTTCCTGTGGGGCCGCTTCTGGAAGAAAGAGTTCATCATAAAGAGTCCCTTTTTTTCCATGAATTCGGCCAGCTGCTGGCCCCTTGGATTCCGTTGTCCTATTCCAAATTTCCCTACTTTTAGCTCACCGTTTTTTCTTGTGCCTAGTTTTGCATTGAAGTCTTCCAATAACACCGTAAATTGGGTTTTGGAGGAATGCATGACTCTAGAGATATCCTCATACATTTCCACCACCTCCTCATCGGGGTGTGCCGAGGTTGGTGCGTAAACCTGTATGACCTTCAGCGAATACCGTTTGGTGATTCTGAGTATAAGGTACGCAACCCTCGTCGACACACTCCCGATCTTTACAACGTTGTTTAACGAAATACTTTTGGACGATAAATCTGACACCTCCTTGGGACAGATTGTCGCCCTCCCGGTGATAGAGCAAGTTGCCGGATTCGAGGATTACCGTGTCCTCCCCCTCTGTTCGGACTGCGGATAATTCTATAATTTGCCAGCGTAACTTGTCTATCTCTTATTCCAGCTCTACGATCTTCGCGTCAGTCCTCAGGGTACGTGCATTGTACGTTGCCAGGTCGAGTCGTCTAAGGTGGCAACCGAACCTCCACTGGAGATTCTGCACCCCCTGCCCCGCCGCTACCATGGTCGCCACCGTAGCCAGGAATAGCGGGGCTGCCGGGGACTGGGGGCCGTCTGTTTGTTGCTCTAATTATTGGGGGGTATTTGCCATAGTTGCCACGCTTGGCGAGCAGGTTGGCAACCGAAGTTTTTATTGTAATTTTGGCTATTATCAGGAAGATGCGCCTGCCCATCTCCTGCCTGTTTCCTTTTGTCGCCTTTTACGACACCCACGGGAAGATATGGGGTAGTAGATATTCTTGATCGCCACTACACGGCAAATATATACAATATATACATATATAAATACATACATACACATATACATCCATACACTACATATATACACAATATATATACATATTATCTATGTCATAACAAACTTGCAACATTTTTTTTGCATATTGCTTCATTTTTGGTGATTATTTTCCTCTTCCAATTTTAAATACTTACATAATTTTTGTATTTAAGAGAAGAATATGATATATATATATGATAGCGGTACGAAAGTAAGATCAAAGGATGACCTAATAAATAGAATTAGTCTTTACTTTGTCGAAATTGATAAAATTAAAGGTAAAATCTGTATTACTTAATTTAAAGAAAACTTTTCTCTCAAGCGGTAACCAGTACGGTATTCTGGTAAGATATTTAATTTGATAATACATCGACATGATAGCTTTCTATTACGGAATCACCTCGATGTTTGTCTATTAGTCTTTGTCATAGCACTCTTCGTGATACTCTTTTTTATAAAATAAGGGTGATAAACAAGCTCACAATCCATCTGATGGTAAGCGTATGTGACTGTATGCTAGTGGTCCATAGTCACTTACATCTATCATCGATTAAGAGTCTTAATTTCCCTGAGCACTCAGATGGAATTCCTCGTTTCCAGTAAAATTAATTCAGTCTGGATGACATTAACAAACGAACATACAGTCAATGTTATGGTAAATTAATGCTGCCACCACAAAAATAAATTTAATTAAGAATATAAAATCAGAGGCGTCATCGCCCCTGTTAGTACTACGATGGAGTGACTCGTTATCAATATAATGTGTATCCGGTTATCTTCACTCACCATACGAAACAAATCAGCATTATATTTTTACGTAAGTGTAGCGAATAAGTTGAGTCGATAGCTTCAGCCATAATACAGATGTAGTGTGGCTCTACTATGTACAAATTGTAGCGGTGTGACTTCGGATACAGCTTCGTAAATAACGATACTTTATATCGAAAAACGAACTTCCAGTCAGCCTGATGGTAAGTGCCTACTACAGTCATGGACACCAATGATTATTATACAAGTATTCTTTACACTATAAATGGAAAAACAGTTCCAAAACGCGTAAATGTTGTGCAAGGTGCGCAAATTGTGCATGTGTTCGGTTTACAGACATTAATGTCTTCATCTTTAAATTATGGCTTCTCTTGATAGAATTCAGCCAGTATTAAGTCAAGGCCAATAATGCCAACTTCGTAATATTAGCACAGGCAAAAATCAAATTAAATTTAGTGTACCCACTTTAATGAAAATTATTTTATTTTATAATGTTTTAAAGTTAGAATTTTTAAATTTATAATTGAACTTAAAAAACAGTTAAAACAAATTTCAGAGAACCATAACATAAATCAAAAAATTAAAAAATCCCCGAAACAAAAAGAGCCGAAGTTCTTCAAACGGCTAAAAAGATTTTCTTGAGTCACAGCTAAAAACACTCCCGATCAAGTCACCTTTCAAATAAAAAATAATAATAAGTCTAAATCGGTTCATTCGTTTGGGAGTTACGACGCCACAGGCAGAACACACAGATACACAGATACATACGTTACACATATAACACCCCACTTTTTCGTCGGGGGTTTAAAAAAGAATATCATCGAAATCGGTTGACGAGGTAAAAATTAAATTGCCCGTAAGTCGCAAATTGAAGAGTTTATTGATTTTTGTCATCGATCCCGTCTTCAGATCTTGAACAAATTTATATGGGACCACCCCTAAGGTTACCCAATTAAAATATTCATAGAAATCGGACAACATGGTCAATAAATATCGCTGAACATATATAAAAAAATATTCCGACGAAATTGTAAACCTCCTGCTTTTTTGAAGTCGATTGAAGATATAAAAAGCGGTTGCAAAAGTTAAACAGCGTTTAACGTGTTATAACAGTGTTATTTAATTCAGTTTGCAAAATTTGGACGTGTATATTCAAAATCTGGCTAAACAATTGAAATTCGTGTCATGTTTCTATTTTACCCTGTAGGCGTTGCCAGAGAACATACAGTCATTTAAAAGTGTCCCAAATGAGTCGTTTGCGGAACGATCCCCAGTGAGCCACAGTGTATCAAACATTCAACAAGAGTGTCGGAATTAATGCAGTACACTCATATGTCTGTATGTAACTTTAAGATGAAATCTGTAGCGTATCGTCAGACTCATACCATCCTATTCAGTTTCAGTGCTTTCCGAGCTTTCGTAGAGGATAGACGTACTCTGATTTTGAAATTCTGGCACGGTTTTTCCGCGACGTAAAGAGCGATGCTTATGTTTTGTTTTTATCTATTATAAAACTAGAAATAATTGAATTATGAGTAAGAAATAAAAAATAAAATATTATGTAATGAATTTACTTATGTTTCATTGAAAAAAAAGAGTAATCTAATTAGAAGTGTAGTCTAAATTTAAGTGACGGTGTGTTATCGAAGATGGTTGAGCGAAGCATACTGACATTTTCATCGTTTTTCATAGTACTTTTCGGAGGTATGTACCTAAGGATTTAATTCTTGTGTTGTTTAATATATTTTATGACTCGGAATTTTTTGATTAAAAAAATTCATATATGAGGAATTTAAAAAAAAAACCGATTATAAGTATTCAATAATTTAATTACTATCTAACTTATAGGATAGGGTGTGGGTTTCGGCTGATGTAAAATTAATCGACGTAATTATTACGCGATATGTATACAGAACTTTTTATTTATACGTTTCACCGGCGTGGCTGCATAATTACGAGTATACTTTTATTTAAGCTACATAAGTAAATTATAAAATAAAAGAAGAATGATACGTCATAAAAAACTTTCACTTCCTACATTTTTATTACATAATTTTATATATAAAATATTGCCAAAATAATTATTTTTAATAATGTACTTTATGTTTAAGTATTTAATAATTAGCATTTTTATCCATTAAATCGTATAGAAAAATACGTATCCATGATAGTTGCAATCTCAAATTTCCCCTTTGGTAGATAATTGGAAGCCACGATTTAAAACTTCAGCATTTAATTAACTTGTTCGCCAAAAATCACGTTCACGAGAAATATCTTTCTTTCTCTTAACTCAGAGTTGAAATGGTATGAATTGCCATACCAAAAAAACCTAAAAATTGCAGATGTGATAATACTTCTCTTGTTCGTTGAAATTGTTTTATGATTGATATGACATAATATATAATGACTATATAAAAGAATATGTAGATAAAAGAAATTATGTCGGACATTCTTTAAAGTTTTCTAATTTTATTACTTATGCTTTTTCACTTTTATAGCGATCTCTAAGACTGGACTGGACTTCAAATAGAACATTTAATTACTAATCTAACAATAATTACACGCAAATGGTCCAAATTCAGTCACCACTGGCCCCACTTAACCCATGATCATCATCGTAACAGCTGTTCACAAGACCACTGCTGAACATAGGCCTCCCCCAAGGCATGCTACGAAATATGGTCCCGATCCACCTGCATCCATCGACTTCCAGCACCTTCTTACCAGGTTGCTACTCCGTCTAGTGAGCGGCTATCCTATATTTCGCAGTCTGCCACGATAACACGAGACTGCCACTCTATATCTATCGCCCATTGCCTCTTCAGCTTATAATCCGATGCGCGATGTCGGTGGCTCTTGATTTACTGCCTATGTCTTTATTAAAAAATTGATCTCGCAGAGAAACTCTGAGCATAGCCCTCGCCATAGACCGTAGATCGATCTTAAGCTTCGCCTTGCGGCTAGCAGTAAAGGATTACATCGCAAATCCATATGCCATCACTTAAATAGGAGTAGATAATCCCAGTTTTAAGTGATTATTTACGCGAAAGTGGAATATGATCGGGCTGGCTGATATAATATATACAAACTTAAAAAAAAACTATAAACTCATGCCAACGACAAATTCTAAAATAAACATTTCCAATTATTAAATAGCTTCTGAAGTTGGTGCTAAGACAATTTATCGAATAATTATAGCCCCGCTTTCTGAAGCCGCTTTTTGGAAACCATATATGTATATTTTTTTAAAATTTTTGAAGCCGGTTGTTATATCCATCCGTTACAGCCTATAAAAGTCCCGTGGTGAATATTATCCCTCCCTCATAGATTGCATCATGGGTGATTTTGCCATAGCAACACCCTGGGAACGATATGGGGTAGTGAATGTTTTTACACCGCCTCTACAGATTGTTATATATAGATATTTTAATTATTTCACCCTTTGCAATGGACTAAGCATGATTAAAAAACGAGAATGTTTTTCTAATTGTTATAATAAAATTTCAATACCTATTTTTCTACTCCTAAATAAAATAATATAATATATACATTAAATATATAATGAAAAGGAATAATTGAAATCGTTTTCACAGTGGACAAAAGCATTACGTAACATACGCACAAAAAAGAAATAAAAAAACAGCCGAATAGAGAACCTCGTCTTTTTGAAGTCTGCTAAAAAGAAGTTTCTCAATTCCACTGTTATTGTATGTACGTTATATCTTCATCAGTCGTGAACCGATTTAAATATTTCCTTTTTTAGGAGTTTATTTAATAGTATTTTTAGGTTGTATTGGAGTCACTTAGCTTTTAAGTAAATTTCACAGTACACGAGTGACCTGGGTTCGATCCCCGGCGGCATCAATGAAATTGTTAACTGCAATTTTAAGTGCTGATTTACCACGCGCTCGGCGGTGAAGGAAAACATCGTGAGAAAACCTGTATGTCAGAGAAATAAGAAAAATGTATATTTCGAACACATGTGAAGTTCGCTAACATGCATCGGGGCATCGCGGTGGACATTTGCTTGCCCTAAAACCTTCTCAGAAATGAGAGGTCTCTGCCCAGCAGTGGAACGTAAACAGGCTATAACTTGACATTACTTTACTTTTGCCGTAGCTTTTCCTTTGTCGGATAAGGTTAGAATACTCAATAAATTAGTATTGTTGAGCAGATAACCTTATATTTTTGTTTATTATGTGACTTTATCATTGTCTGATTTTGTGTATTTGATTTGTACCTATGAGCGCGACTAGATCTAAAAGATCAATTTCTCCAAAATCATTTAAGATTAAAAAAATGTAAGTCAGTGGCGTTCCCATATAAATTTAGAGAGGAATTACTCCCTGAGGGTTGAAAAATAGGATGAAAGTTTTAATGTAACTATTTGTATAACATTTTTGTTGTTACCTTGAGCTAATGATATTCCCGATACCTGTCAAAAGGGTAAAAAGTTCAGCTTTTTCTTATTATTTATAAAGTGGTTTAATTTTTTGATACGGTCATCTTTACGGGCCACAAAAACATTTTAAGATTTTTTTATTGAATAAACGTGAAAAATGAGTAGGTTAACTACCAAATGGTAAGTAGATGCTGTTACCTATAGACATCCACATCTACCCTCGATTAAGAATTTACAAATTTACAAAATTTACAAATTTACAAAATTTACAAAATAATTTATTACGGTAACTAAGCCTAATACAATTTTAAGTACTTGGAGCTTCCTTTTAAGCAAATAATCTTGCTTGTGTTAGGAAGCACCGCTCATCCATAGCGAGGTTACACAATATACTAGAAAATAATGATGCGTTATGGACCCAGAAGTCTAAGACAGAATGCTTCGTTTTCAATAAAAACGATCTTCGATTCTCTACACTCACCATACAAAACACAAAAGCATTAAGGTGCTATTTTACGCTGGTATTCTGTAGGAGCGTGGTACTTTCCCTGGTCGAGTCGACCCATTGAGGCTTCAAACATACCATTTATAAAAAGAAACATAAGCGGATTACTTAAACTAAATACACAATTTTAGTCAATTTGTTCGAGAAATATTTCGGTTGACCATTTGAAGCTTTATATGCGATAATACCTCGATGTGGAGCTAAGTAAGACCCTTGGGAAATTATTTTCGTCGTAAAAGCTGCCGCACTTTATTTGTTCGATAACTTTAATTGATCATGTGACATCATTAACGACTCGTAAAATTTCTCTCCCAGATGGATACTTTGGCTGTATCTAGCGACTGGTATTGGCGATTTCCGAACAATCTGCTTCGCATCTCCGACGTCATCATTATGCTTTGCTTTTGGTGTAATACTAGCACACAGACCGAGTGATTATTTTAAAATTAATTAGCACGGATAAACATATAAAGAGTAGGTAATATTTTACGACACATCAGTCATTAATATAAAAATGTATTTTTAAATTAAATATAATGTCTAATGAAGTAGTCGATTTCAAGCTATTACTTAAAAAGTTTTATAAGTAGCTCTTTTAACCTATGTTCTTAGTTATCATTATAATATACTTTGAAAAATAAGCTTCTTTCTGATTCTTCCTAGGACTGAGGTTTTTTTCTGAACCAGTGGTAATATATTCTATTCTATTCTATCCTAATTAAAATAAATGTTTTTTTTATGTAATTTCATTTTAATTAAACCAAAGTTTTATGTAATGTAAACAAAAATGTATTTAAATGAAAATTTAAAAATTATTATTTAAAATAAACGTTGCTCTGCCTTATTAGGCTTCAACTACTTCTATAAGTAAAGTTATTTTATCGAACCAAAATTGATTAACTATCATGGTGGTACGTAGAAAATGTAGTAGATAGTGATATACTTCATGATATGTAATTGCCTGCGTTCGCGATTTAAATGATCGACCAGTCGATTTGAATGACGTGGTACGTAGTGTTTACCCCCACCACTTTTCGTCACACAAAAATATTGCGGATCAGAATTTCAAAACCATCCCGTAAAAAGGTGTCGGCAAGAGCGGTGTCCTCTCACCCTACCGCCGTAGTCAAGGTAGAGTCGCGTAGGACGAGGAGTGTTGGTATGACGAGCGCCACCCCCTATTGCTTCCGAGTGCTAGTTTTGTCTGGCCTCATGGCCTTAGCGCATCGGATGTGGGGGCGTCCGTTGCGTAGGTAAAGTTGTAGATCTCGGAGGAACACATGGTGCACCTTACCTGATAAAGAGATGGGGAGGAGTAGGCCTCTCCCGAGGAGAGACCGCCATTTAGCGGTCCGCGATGGTGGGCTGCGAACGTGTACAAAAGCATTCCCATGGACCTGCCAATTATGTGGCAAAGAGGAACATCATGAAATTTTGGTCGGTGCGAGTCTGACAAAACCGCGAAGCGGGTATGCGTAGGCATTTCTCCGTGTAAAAAAAGGGTAGCAACTATTAATACGACGTTATTGAGATTTAGAGGACAATCATCAAATGCTATTGATTTTTTCAATTTTACGATGTCTGCAAAAAAACTCATTAAAATGTAGCATAGGTCACTCTTGACATTGCTTTCTATCTATTGGTAAAGTTGCATTACAATCGATGTAGCCATTCCGAAGGCGGACAGGCAGACAGACTGAATTTTTTTTAAATGGTTATTCATGTCATAATTGCGTGAAAATAACCCCCTCAGCTCAACAAAAGGCTGTAATTTAAATATTACAGATATACACTTCT